AATATAAAATAACAATTATGTACAAATATTTTGTTCATTTCATTTTTCCATGTTATAAGAACATTCATTATTTGCAAAATCTTTACAATGAAAATAAAGGCGTCAATAGGAAAATGAAGATCTCTTTTATATTCTGCTTATTTAATTTATCTAAAACCTTGTTATATAATAACTTTTTAATTGTGGACCTTGAATTAGGAACGGAATATTGCTGCTTTTCTGTACAGAAAACTAGTTTTTCTCTGAATTAATGAGCCCATTATTTTTTTTCATTATGTTCCTCAGTTTCTATTTCGAGCATGAGAAGTCTTGCAGTCCAATACAAACAAGAATTATCTTTGGGAGTAGACAGCCAAATAAGAAGAGCATCTTTGAGGATGGAACAGTTCCATTGATGCTCCACAAAAAATACTGTCAGGAGAGACAGCAAGTGTGCCTGAAGGTAGTCGTGTTCAGTGAGCAATCGGAAGGATGCTCGTTGATTTTGAATTAGCTGTTTGATTTGAAATTTGGCATTTCTCAGGTTAGTGGGTGACACAGCGAGGTCCATGCTGGATGCCTCTTTTGCGAGATTATCTGTGTTTTCATTTCCCCATAAGCCACAATGCCTAAGGATCCATTGGAAAAAAATTTTCTTACCAGTAGAGTGTTGTTAATGGCAGTTTTACAATTGAATTCAATGGCTGTCAGCTGAGGTGGTTTGAGATGTAGGTGTACTGCAGCTTGACAATCAATGAAGAGGACAAAATTCTCCTCTGATCTCTCTAAGATCTTCTGAAGAGCCAGGTAAATTTCAAAAATTTCTCCATCGAAATTATCTGAGTTAAAACTTAAAGGCTCTTTGAGTTGAAAAGCCTAGAAAAAACACCAGCTTCGGTTCCTCTAGAAGTTTGCTCAGCTGAGCCATCTGTGTAAATGTGTACTCAATTGCTACTAGGGTATCTTTCATTGATCGTGGCAAGAGCAGCAGCTTTGGGTTCTGCTGGAAGAGAAACTCTCTTCTGTACTGGGAAGAAAAGGTAAGAAATAGGGGTTGCGTATTTCATAGTATACCAGGAAAAATAGAGGGTCTGTATAGTAAGTTTCTGTTTTTCGGAGTATCAAAGGAATAAAAAATTACTAAGGAAAGAAGAAATACCATTATAATAACAGGAAATTTTCCCATGTAAGTAATTTAACAGTCATAGAGTTAGAAATTATCACCTGACTATATTTTCACATCCAAATTTTGTTTTTCTTATAAGTAATAAATTAATTGCAGTTGTATTATCTATCGTTCCTCGGGGAGGGGATTCTTCCTATCTTTTTTTTCCAGTTTTCTTTGATATCTTTGTCATTTTTTACTCTTTTATGTATTTCTTTATTCTTTTAATCTGGTTGCTGACGTAGTTACTTACGCTTTTTAATTTCCCTACTCTATTGCGTTACACTCTTTTCTGTCACTTAGTTGCTCTATAAAGGTATTTATGTTAGTCAACTTTTTTCTACAAAATTGTTTAAAAGATGAAATTGTATTATTTTTGTATATAAAATTCCATTGAATTGTGCTATTTTTCAAGAATTACAACTTTGGAAAAGAATTCATAATGCTATTGTTCAAATTTTAAAAGTCAAGGATATGTCGGTAGCAATAATTTTGGTTGCAAAATGTTTGATAAATTTTGTTTAGAAAGAAGCTACTGGTTCATCATCATTTCTGTTAATAAATAAATTCAGAAAATAGTAAATTTAAAAGCAGTGTTCTATTTCTTCACACTTTAGCAGAGTTAAATAAGTTTTTGCAACTTATTTTTAAAAAAAATAAAAAAAAAGATTTTTTTTTTTAATTTTCAAATACTATGCTCACCTTCATAATGTGTAACTTAATGACATTGTAACATTTGTACATGTAACATTACATGTTACATTGACATGTAACATTTTGTTCATCTATTTAAACATTTTTAATGCTACTCTTTCTTTTCTTAATGTTTGAATTGAATTTGTCATTTAAACTCATAGCAAGTATTTAACTACCAAGAACATGTGCAAGTCCATTCAGGACCACAGTAAACACTATAATATTGCGCATACGATTCATTGTTTTATGAAAATTTTCTGTAATCCTAGTATCTGCATAAACGATCACTTAATCACTGTTTTAACTTTCAGCTGTTCCCAGGCAATTTAAAAAACATCGATGTACCATGTGCCATTATGCATCACACCTGAAGACGGACGTAACGAGGCATTTAAGAATTCACACTGGTGAAAAGCCCTTTCAGTGTAATATGTGTAACAAACGTTTTAGTTTAAAGTATAATTTGACGAAGCATATGATTATTCATCTTAACAAATATTTTTAATTATTTTAAGGATACAAAATGTTATTCATAATTTAAAAAACACCTTGATGTCTATTTTGGTGTTATTCTTTCAATTTAAAGACATCCCTAGCTTCTGGTGAACCTTTTTTTGACCTTTTGACTAGCAACAAAAATTTTAATTTAGCACATGTTGGTTGTTTAACTAATTAATTTCATCAAATTAATGTTAATTAATTTGATAATGGTAAATGTTAATCAAGCTTTAATTAAATAAATGTTTTTATACTTATGTCTAATATGATTAAAACATTTATTTCTTGTGATAAATATTAAATGTAATTTGTTTTTGTTCCAAATGTTCATAAATGTTATTATTTATTATGTACTTAAACTGATTTTTGTAAAAACATGACAAATAAGTGTAATTACTAAAATGTTTGAATAGTATCCAAATCTCTATTAAGTACCTGTTGATTTAGTCGAATAACTGTTATTAGCACATATCAGCAGTGTTTTCACTACAATGCAAGAATCTCGCATATTTTTTCTTTTCTCCAAATAAAAATTTATTAGTGCGAGAAGTTTGTGCACTCTATTAAACAATTTTAAAATGCATGAATCTCTCGAATTTTGGAAAAAAGTTTCTTTTTCTGCCATTTTGAAAAAGACATGAAGACAGCTACGACAAGAGTTGAGGAAAAAAATGAGTCCTTTATAATAAATTGTTTAAAGTTATCTCTAATTTTAGCTGCTAATGAATTACCAATCTCCCTCATCAACAATTTGTAAAAGTTGAAGTCTGTAAAATTTATACTGGGAGACCTAATAAGAAGTATGAACATGGAAATAGCTTCAACGAACTTCACTATTCTATAACAGAAATAATTGAAAAGCTTATACTGGCAGATGTAGAGGATAGGAAAGTGTGTGCACAATGCTACAAATTTAATTAGTGATTCCGAATAGTTCAGCATTTGTTGCAGGGTCATTTAGCATCCAAAACCGAATTAAAACAAAATATCATATAACAGATTGATGATTGCTGTTGAGCATTTGAGCAACCTAATGAGAATAGCTGATGAAAAAGTGGATATACAAAATTTTCCATATGATGATGCAGCAAAAATATTCCATGGTTTAGAAGTTAGAAGATGTTAAAAATGTATTGTAATTAGAGAAATATTTTTTTCCAAGTCTGTTAGTGTTTTTTTAATTTTTAGAAATCTCACCCTGGTTTTGAGAAAGGGTGAGAAATTCTCTCCCATTTTTTTCTGTAATGAAAACACTGCATCAGTATCATGCTTCAACAGTTAATCTCTTGATTTTACTTTTCTCAAAAAATATGCAGGTATAACATCCATTTAATTTCTGCAAATTGTATTGAAAATAGTCCTTTTGTATTTACATTGATAGAATAAAACTACATCTATTTTATCATTATTTTGTTACATTTTACATAAGCTCAGTCAATGGTTAGTCTCATCTAGCTATATTTAGAGCAAGTTCATCATTTGAAATTGAAGAGTGCAGTGCAGAAGCATATTAATTGACCTTTTATAGTATTTGTGAAAATCTATTTTAAATATTGCGAAATGGCAATGTTCTAGCAATATTCTTGTGGTGAAGCATTTTTTAAAAAAATATATTTTTCTTATTTTTTTTTTTATTTTTTATTCAATTAAGCAAAAACTGTCAGCATAATGGTTTATATGAAGAAAAGTAACAAGTTTTCTTATAGAAAAATCTTATTAATATAAGTTGGTCATTTGGTTATGTGATATTCAATTAAGTGACGACGACTGCAGTTATCATACTTCTAAAACAATTTGAACTATGTTTTCTGTTTACTAACTATCAGATAAACAAGTATATTCTAACAACATTATTTGTTTGGTGCTAGATTTACGTTTTTTTTTTTAACACAAGTTGCTGTACAAAAAGTTTTTTTACTAAATATATAAAGTGATTGTTAAATAAATCTTTTTTGCGAAGAAGTTGTATCTGTGTTTAAATTTAATCCTATATTCTGTGATTTCCATATTTTTTCCTAGAGTCAGAATTTTTTATAATTTTTTTTATGAAATTGTAATTTCTGTTTTATTCTACTATCTAACATGCTGATATTATGAGACACATTGCTCATAAATGTTCTATTTTCAATGAACTATATAATGTAAACAATAAACACAAAAGCAATTGATTAAAACACATCTGTTTCAGTGCTGTTATGAAATACCATGCCAAAACTTTAAAAAAAACTGCAAATTATGAAGCTTCATAACTTAAACATAGCATCTTTTGATTTTTATTGTCATTATTTTTTATTTACATTTTTAAATAAAGTAACGCAACAACAGCTGCAGTTTTTTTCTTCTTTGTATTGCTTTCATAATGATAACTACTTATAACATTGAAACAGCTATATAACTCTTTATCAAACTTTTTAGCATATTATGTTGTTTTTGCTAGCACTAATAACAATAGCACATTCTCTTCTCATTATTTTGCAGGAATGATTACTTATTTCTAAATATCTGCTGTTTAGATTATTTTTTAATACATTTAATTATAAATAATTAAATGTTCTGTTGCAATTTCTGTTTTAATTTTCAGCAGCTTCCAGAACATTTGGAACACATCGCTGCTCATTTTGCAATTACTCTTCTTATTCGAAGACTGATGTGACAAGGCATATCAGAAGTCACACTGGTGAAAAGCCATTTGCATGCAGCATTTGCAACAAACGTTTTAGCGTAAAATCTACTCTTACCAAGCATATGCTTATTCATTTTAAATAACATTCATTGGGATTTGTTTCAAGTTGTTCATTAGTGCTTATTACAAAAAAAAAATCATCAGTTTAATCAAACCTATTTGATTATGATTTATGTTACATATCTAGTATATGTTACCACAAATGACATATATGAATAATATGTGTGTTACATAAATGATATAAATAAATAACATATATATTTGTGATTCACAAGTAACGTGTGTATAATGAATGTTGTTAAAGGAAATCTATTCTCATTTAACATTTGACTATTCATTTTAAATAGCATTCATTGTGATAAGTTTAAATTGTTGCTCATTAATAATTCTTAGAGTAACAATTCTAAATGTTTCAGTTTTTTTGCTTATCAGTTGTGTTGTACAGTTAAATCTGAATTAAAAATTGACTTTTCCTTTTTTTTCTGTTTCCATATTAAATATGTCCAGCTCAAAGCGATAAAATTTAAACTAATATTTAAAAAAACTATTTTATTTCTTCTTGCTACTTCTTAGGTAGCTATATATTTATTTTCCCCCCAAAAAGCACACTAAAAGAGTTGTTGAAAAGAGATAAAGGAAAACATTCTTTGGAAAGATGAACATTGATGGAACTGAATAATAATAGTGTTTGAAAAGAACACTAGCAGGAAAATTTATTTTTCTTTAAATTATAGGTATTTCCTTTAAAATATCTAGTCAATTATATTCCTTGTTTTATTATTATTTTTTTTACTAAATTAGATTAATTTGTTTTTGATATATGAGGCTGGATTTTTAATATTGTTTTTATCATCTGCTCAATTATATTTATTTTTTTTTTTACATAAATCTATTTTATACTAAACATTTTTAAAAATCATTCAACCCATAACTAAACTTTTTTGTATGAAATTAGCAGTAATTAGCGTCCATTCATTATTACTATTTTTTTTATTTATTCAATCATATTTTAATTCTCGTTAATCTTAAAAACTTATTATCCGCAATAATCTATTTTCCACCCTTCCCTAAGTCCCAATTATTACAAACTTTGGACTTTCTATATGTTACTAAAGTAATATATATTAGTTACATGCATATGTTACTCAAATAATATTAATAAATAACATATATGTGTTTCACACAAGTAACATATAATTGAATTAAATAATGAATTAAAACGTTTTAGTAGAACTTTACTCTGGTGTAACATCTGATTATTCAGTTTTAATAATATTCATTGTGATTTGTTTCAAATTTTATGTGTTAATACTTTTTACAGTTCAGTTGAATTTTACTGTAGACTTTTATTTGTTGTGGTGTACAATTAAATCAAGATTAAAAATTTATATTGCCTCTTCTGTTTGTTTCCATATTAAATTATGTCCACTTTAAAATATAAAGTTAAAATGAAATTAACGAAAACATTTAATGCTTGTGTTTAATCTTCTTATTCTACGAACAATGTATAATTTTAGATTTTCAGTCTGCTCAGTAATGGTAAAAGTACAGCAATGTACAAGTTGCATCTACTCATTTATTCGAACAACAAAAATACTCAAGCACATGACATCACATACCGAAGAGAAATCCTTTCAATGAAATCTAGACATTTAAATAGAAAGAATAATTTAAGCCATCTTAGGATGACTTATTTATAGAATATATCCATATGTACCATTTACAATATTCCTAAATATTTATTATACAGTATACTCTAGATATTTCAAAAATTTTGCTATGTCGAAAAAATATTTTCCCCCGTGGCGTTATATATCCACCCAATGTTAATTTAAATACCTATGTCAATGATTTTCTTCTCAAAACCTTGTTATTTCGAACTTTTTAACAATAGAAAATTAATTTTTTTTTGGAAAAATCACAATGTAAATTTATTGTTAACCAATTCTGTTCTGTTTAATGCATAATTATTTTTGTCTTACTTTTTTTAGAAATAAAATAATCATTATTGTATTTAGATTTTTGGTCAACTTTTCTTACATCAATATTTATTAGTATTTATTTTTATATTTCATGGCTCTAGTTTTTAGATTAATATTTTAGAATATATTTTTCTACCTTTTAGAACATATTTAGTTCTGAACTTGTTATCTCGAAATTTTTTTAGCGTCCCTACAACTTTGAGATATCGAGAATATACTGTATATTCCATTATCATTTCTAATGGTACCTTTATTCTGATTTTTTTTCACATCATTCGTAGTATTTAAAATTAATTATTAGTTAACAAACAAATTTATTGAAGTGCTTTCTTTAGTTATTAAAAATAACTAAGAATAACTTATTTTCTTGAATTATTATTTTAGACTTATTTATTTTTTTAAATTATTTAGATCTGTTTATTTTCTTAAATTATTAGAGACTTATTTATTTTCATGATTTATTTAATTAAGATTCTTAGTATCTAATTACAAAACTGTCTATACAGTTGGCAGAAAAAAATCTAATTGTTTTTAAATTGTGAAATATTTCTGAAAAGTAGAACAAGTCATAAGAAATTTTTTCTTTTAATATGTTTGACAGTCCTTTACATAACGTTATTTTTTGATGATTGTAATAAAGTAAATGAAAACATTTAATACATGTGTTTAATATTCATACTGTGTAAATAATGCTTTGTTACATGTATAATTTTAATTTTTCAGTTTGCTCGGTGATGGTAAAAGTGCACAACTGTACATTTTGTGATTACTCATCTATTAGAGCCACAAATCTACTAAGGCACATGGCAAAACATACTGGAGAGAAGCGTTTTCAATGCAACAGCTGTTCTAGACGTTTTAATAGAAAGGATCATTTAAACCGTCATAAGATGACTCATTTACAGAACATTTCCTTATGAACTGAACAAACCGTACTAATTCTAGTTATTTATGTTATATCATTTTTAGTGGTACCTAAGATACTATTTTTAAATGTTTTCTTTATGCAGATTATTCATAGTGTTGAAAATTAATTAGCAAACAAATGTTTTGGACTGCTTTCTTTGGTTATTAGGAATTACTTGGAATAAATTATTTTCTTGAGTTGTTTTAAGACTTGTTTACTTTTATGAATTACTTAGATCTTGTTTGTTTCCATACATCATTTAAGATTTGCTTATTTTTATGATATATTTAAGATTATTAGTATCTAATTACAAACTGTATGTACAGTTCGCAGAAAAGAAATCAAATTGTTTTTTAATTGTGATCATTTTACTGTTCTTGGAGAGAAATATTTCCTTAAATTTGCAAAAGTCATAAGTGAAGTTTAATTTTTATTAAATATGCTTGACTGTCCTTTATATACCATAATTTTTTTGTAATTATATTAATAATTTATAATTAGGCTTTTTAGTTTGATTTATACTGGACTTGATTAGAACAAGTTCTTTGTTTTTTCATTACTTAAGTTTTAAATTATAGAAATTTTTTTACACAACTTGATGTGTTGCCCTCTGGAATCCAAGAAATCTCTGAGCAAATGCCCTTATTGCCCTACCCTATCGATGGCTTTGACGTGAAAAATTCTAAATAACTGTATATTTAAAAAGTAAAACAATAAAATAAACTGAAACGTTTTAGAAATCATACACTGGGATTCAATATTCACTCGATTTAAAGATTGCACATTGCATTTCGTATTCGTGCAATTTTCTTCAAGTCACACAAACAGCAATTCGCATTCACGCTATTTAAAAAGCACACATGACAATTCGTATACACGCTGTATAACCTCGTATTATGATTTTGCAATATTTTCTGACACTTTTACTAAGCATTATTGTGGAGGATTTTCCACAATTTTCGAAACTGGGAAAAATCACCTTGGTTATTCCAGTAATCTGTGCAGCAACTGAAAGTGGCCTCTCTTGCATGAGGAGAGTTAAAACTAGTGCAAGGAATAGACTTACAGATTTCATTAGTGAAGCCAAATTTAAAAGATGCTTCTGAGAGTTTATCTTTTTGCAAACAAAAAATTAAAAAAAAAGAAAGATAGGATTTGTATGTGTGATACATAATTGTGATTAATAAATAAATCTATTCTTATTTGCAAATATACAGAGTATATATACTTTTGCAATGAAGCCTGTTACAAATACTCCTGCAAAACGAACGCCTCTCATTGTGGAGATATTTTTCATTCCCCCTGAATCTTATATGAATAAACCATTATGTACCTTCACCCCAAAATGGACGCTCCTGTAACCAGATGCAGACAGTCATTTATGCCCCAAAAAATTTCTATCTCTACAAACTGGACAGCAATTTTTCTAAATTTGTAAAAAAAAACTATTTCTGCTTTAAATTGTAAGGAAAACAATTTGCAACTTTCCACCTTTTTTAAAGCATGTAGTTTGTTTTTTTTACCTTATCCGCAATTAAAAATAAAGCTATTTCACTACTGAAAAATCAATCATTCTCATTTCTTTATCTTTGCAAAGAAAGGTAAGAAAATGATACTGCTCATACATATTTCAGACAGGGGCATCTCTTCATCTGGACAGTACTGGCTGTGAGATCACGCAAGTTGATATGATGCCTTAATGCCCTCAATTTCCTTTCCCCGCAGAAAATTCATTTCTACATATTATAAATTTGTAGGCAATAATTAACCCAGCTGGGTTAAAATAGAACAGAAATCTGATCATTGAGGCGTTCATATAAATGAAACATTTATTTAGACATTTGACAGATGATCAATTGTGAGTATGACAACTCTATAGAACCTCATGTCTTATAGGTATGCATTGTTGCTTTATTTTTGTTCCGTGATTAGTGGGAAGTTTACTTTCAAGAAGGTGTTATCATGTTTCCTATCAAGTGATGGGGAGGTGTTAGAGGGTGTGTTAACCTAATAATAAAACTGGCGGAGGAAGTGACATAGGACTAAAAGCTCCAATTCAGTATCATACAACAAACTTGAATGTATGTTTAAATAGGAAAAACATACTCATTTTTCTGTAACTACATCTAGAATTATGCATACATAAATACATATCAAATGTTTTCAGATACTTTTTTTGCATTGAAAAAAGTATTTTTCAAAGTTTAAATGAATATTATTGCAAATAGTTATTCTAGATTATTTAATTTTTTCTATATCATTGCAGTTATTTTAAAAGCAATTCACAGCATTTAACTTCATTATTAGGGTACCCTTCCCGAACAATTTTTATCACTCCCAAGAGTGTCCGTTTCACCAAGATTTCACTGTATATATATTAATTAAGTAATATGCCTCTCCATTACAATTTCTGGAACTCTTTTTTTTTTTGGCAGCAAAACCTATAATTTTTACTTTAGTGTGTCCCTGGATTTCAGGTTGACAATAGTTCAGGCAAACACTGCCAGAGAAAAAATATATTTTGCCATTAGTTCTGAAACTTTACCTACCCTGAGATAAATAATTGAAAATTTGTAGACTTTTAAACTTATATATGATTTATTATCATAACTATTTGGTATATTAAATATGCATAGCTAGTCAAATTTGCCACTTCATTAACTGAATATTTAGCTATCTAAGATTGGTGCAATTCTTTTTTAACATTATTGAAATGCATAATATGTAGTTTTATTTTAACTTTTGTTTTTTGATTTACAGTTTCTAAGAAAAAGAAAATTCATGCATGCTATCTATGCTCGTACGCATCCTGTAGAAAAACAGATCTAACAAAGCATATAAGGACACACACTGGTGATAAACCCTTTCAATGTGACTTTTGTGATAAATGTTTCGGCGTCAAATCCAACATGACAAGACATATTCATAAG